TTCTGTCTACTATTTCAATTCTTGAATACTTAAACTTGATACAAATCAAAGAATAGACGCTGAAATTTTCCGACTCGATTGGAGTCAGCACAAAAATATAGCCTTTATTTTATACATGACTTTAGTAAGTAGTTATTTACCGACTTTTGTTATTATGCGGCCTTACCAGATATTGTCTAGTAATGTTTCACAGCCACGAAAACTACACGTGTTTAACAGAACAAATAAGAAATGCAGTCAACACCGCGTCTCATATTGAACATACCATGATCGAGTACATCAGTTAGATAAAAGAGAAAGCAAGACTGCGTTTCGTTTCATCGATTTCCCCTCGTTGAACGGAATATAGAGCAATTTACCTTTTAAGTCTTATAAATGTGTGATATCGTTACTTTCTTATATCCGCTTCCGGTATTCAGTATCACGGAAACCCTTGTGTCTGCAGACAACTTAAAGCATTCTGCATGCATGCCAAACTTTACGGTCGGTGTCGGAACCTTCCTTTAAGTATGGGATAAAATACCGTTGTGTCAAACATATGCCATGGTGTCAGTGGATTCAAGTGTAAATATCGCACTAGACTTGTTTGTATTACTTCTTGCAATTGAAGTGTTGATTTATGTGGCAATGGTATTTGAAGTGATCCAATGTGCAGATGTACAGGGTTGGGAAGGACGCCCAGATAGGAGCAGAACGACCACCTCTTGTAATTAAACTGTTTCTATATTAAATATTTTCCTCTTTCTTATTTGTTTTTTTAATGTAGGGATCGACAAATAGGGCAGGATCCATAGATGTCTTTCCCGTTAAAATTAAAATGACGTCTTGTCCCATCCTACCATTACTATACTTTAGCAAGTATCCAGCAAACGTTGTCTGTACAGTGATGTAATACTTATATAGCGTGTAAGTTTGGTCTATTCATTCATTTAAAATTAAGATTGAAATATATTAAAACTGTCTCTATTTGAAGTTTGTTGTTTTGAGAGTACACAGAAAGGCTAAAAATACCCCCTTTTAACATTTACGTTATTATGTAGTACAATTCTATTCAAACATATTTTCAAAGTTACACTGCAACGCATGATAGATTCTGGTGAAAAGGATATGTTACATACCAAAGAGTGAAGATCGGTCCTTAGGTAAATGTTGTATGTAACGGTAACCCAAAAATCAATACATTTTTTTTTGCATTTAACTGTGTTTTAGATAGGACTGAATCTTGCTTTGTCCGACTTCATGGGTGATGACTTTTGTCAATCTCGAAACAAATTTAATGTCAATGAATGCCTGCGTACATGCACATAAACTCGTGTCGGGATATCAAATAATAACATGTGTGGCATTTCTTTCATAACATATCTGCAGTTTTTCTAAATTTGCATGTTGTATTTTCTGAAAAATATTACTGATTGTTATTCTGTATTACTGCTATTTAGATGGTTTTCAAACGAATGATCTGATAGGCAAAAGCAAGCAATGATTTCAAACTGTCTTTGTCGTGCTAGTCTTATAAAGACAGAAGGTCCACAGAGTTCCGTGAAGGCACCTGTTTCTGAAGTACACAAAAACAACAAGAGAATACCGTAGTGTTAACAAAAGCGTAATTCAAACTCAAAATCGATGAAACCTGGGCATAATGAAACATTTATTTGGAGAATATTGATTTATATTATAAAGTACAACAATGATAGAGGGGTAAGCGTCTTCTTCTCCATCGACGTAATGTAATTCAAGGTCAAAACCAACTCATAACATTTCCTAAACGCGACAACCGGGATAGTGAACACGAAACAACAAGGCACAAAATGAACATAATATCGATATTCATATTGCACGAGGTTCCACACATTTTCCAATGTGATTATGATGTCGACCATAAAAATTGCCCACAATCTTATCAACCTGCATCCTTATAACCCCGCGTTGTAAGTTTGTCCGTCAGCGGTCAACATCTGTCATGAAATGATATTCGGAGCAGACTTTTGAATACTAAATCAACTGCGAGATACAAGCGTCGTTGTTTGGCAAAGCAGGCATGTTACTATCAAGAAAGGGAATGTTCACAAACTGGAATTGAAACCTTTCCGCTTATCGTACAACTTAGTAGTGTACTGTTCCTGTTACAATGATCGAGGAATGCGTCTGATGTTGACTGTTAGTGGCATTGATTTCAAGTTCACAACGTCGTATCTGATTGACGTTGTGAAATATAAGGACTTGGCAAGGTTTTTGTTACAAGACAAGATAATTTCTTCAAGAAATTCAACATGTTTAAAAATGACACGAGGAGAGGCACAGTTTGGACCTACTGGATACATGCAGTCTGCTGGAATACTTGCCGTACAAAGCTGTACAAAGATTTTCTCCTCCAGGAACTCAATCAAATCCGATTGCCTTCGGCCTTTGTCGTGGTTTTTTCTTCACAAAATGTGCTCCAAAATTTGTTACAATCTTATATATTCATATAGCCGTTCACTGTTCTTGGATAAGAAAGTTATCAAATCTAGATTACATTGCGTCACAATACGACACAATTTTGTTTTATTTATTTAAAAATAAATCGCTTGCCATCGTTTTGCCCATTGTAATGTGGATGTAATCTTCCACAGAAGCCATCTATAACACGAAACTCACATTCCAGTATCTAGCTGGGCCATAGTTGTATGAATTTGTATTATATGCCGAAGGCGATTTTTTAGCGTTTGTTTGTAGTTAAAAGCTTGGAACCAATATTTTTAGAATAACTACCAGAAATGATTAGGGTACTCCAGTATCTGAAGTACAGTGGTATACTCTAAGCGCAGATCTCATTTAATGTTTTGCAATAGACATAATTATTTTTGGAGAACTTATCACGCATCATACATTATACCATTAGCGATATACATGTTTGTTATGAAGAAAAACATTCTCTGAACCCTGTTCAACACTGAAAATGAAAATATTTTACTCTTTCATTTGACATTTTTTTAATATTGTTGAAATTATGGAATAGACGAAGATAAGCTATAAGAACCATTCCAGCTTTTATTATCATAGGTCTTCCCTTTTATGATGGTAACATGTATTTACTTTATGCTTCGAATCTTATTTAGAATGACTTTTAGACAAGAGTAAAAAAAAGAAGAATGGTATCGCTCAAGGTTTCCTAAATGAGATTCTATCAAATTCATTTAATCAAAACTCTTGATATCCCCTAGGAAATCGTCATGATTTTATTGTACAACATTAAGACTTCTAGTCCAAATTATTATCCTATGAATAATCTTGATATTACTAAAATCTATCTATTCTCTAAACATATTCTAAATAACCAGTTATTTCATGTTTGGTCCAGGAAAAGAAAATATTTCTAAGCTGTCAGCCAGTTTTTCCCATTTCTCTGAAATCAAGCATCTGCAAACAGGTTTGATTTTTGAAAGAAATGCTTAAAGTAAACTTATACTAAATATTCATACAAAGTTAAGATACATCTAGAGTGTATAAAATAATGATTGATTAAGAGGCAATATCGTCTCTAGACCAGCCCGTATCTCTGGTTCTCCATGTGAAATTGATTAAGACTTCATTTCATTGACTTAAATGAAATAGTTATAGAATTATGCTTATATGGCAGTCGAGATCAAGAATAGAAGACAATAATGCAGTATTTTGAATTGTTTAAAAAATACAAAAGCCAGTTTTATGTTTAAAAATTTAACCTTTCTGAATTTCAATTGTGATAATGTGTGTAGTTCTTTCTCGTTTTCTTCCTTTTCTTTTGTGTACTTTTGATGTGAAAATATCTATAATTTTTGTCAACTTATGCACTTTGTCGTAAATTTGATGTATTATTCAAAATATTATGTGGACCTTTCTTGACATTTAACAAAAATCAAATAAACATTGACGTGTATTATATATATCGACACTATAAGATTCCGCTTCTCATATACATGTAATAGGATAATACATAACTAATGTGATTAACCCCTCGGCTAGCGTAAAATTGTGACAATCCTATATTGTTTACACTGTTGGAGTTACTTCCTTGCACAATAAACCCCATTTGAATAATTCGTATACTATAAACATACGCTTGTACCAGTTTTGTATGAAACTTTATCGTTGGTATGACTTTTTGGCCCATATATATATATATAGGACACGTCAATTAATAAATTCTAACCGGAAAATGGATCACAGTGTGCGGTCATACGTAAATAAGCTCCACAGTAAAAATCACAACATATGACTGGTTCGTTGGTTTATGTTTTTACATGAGCTTGTATGGCACTGATAATTAATTGAGAGATTATANTACTCAATGGGGATGGTCTCTCAGTAGAGTATGAATATAATCAATGGGGATGGTCTCTCAGTAGAGTATAGATATACTCTATGGGGATGGTCTCTAAGTAGAATCTAAATATACTTAATGGGAATGGTCTCTCACTAGAGTATGAATATACTCAGTGGAGATGGTCTCTCAGTAGAGTATAGATATACTCTATGGGAATGGTATCTAAGAAGAATCTAAATATACTCAATGGGGATAGTCTCCCAGTAGATAATAAATACAGTCTATGGGGATAGTCTCTCAGTAGATAATAAATATACTCTATGGGGATAGTCTCTCAGAAGAGTACAAATATACTCAATGGGGATAGTCAATCAATAGAGTTAAAATATACTCTGTATCTAATTTTTAAATTCACAACACAGCATCTCGACCCAAATTAAATTATATAAGGTAAAAGTTGTTTTTGTAAAAAGTTAAATTTAACAATCAAACTCATGTATCTGCAACACTGCTATGCTTTACATAGCTATACGTAGCGTAGCGGTATTTCGTATATGTATTTCAATCATATTAGGAAAAGTATGGATTTTTACGAAAAATATTAAAGGTGATAGATCTGTAATTTGCATTATACTTACAGCTGATAATATCTGTCGTACGATCGTGTTGTTATCAATTTTTATAATATTTTATAATTTAACTCTACCACCGGGGCCAAAGTTCGCTCAGTAATGGAGCAGGAAAGAGATATAGAGGAGAATCAGACCAGTCGTGGTGCCTGCCCCTGCCAAAACATCGATAATGTGCAAAGGAAGAACTTTTTCTATTCAGTTTGCATATATGCCGCATTCTTTTCAATCGTAAGTAAAGAATGGTCAGTGAAACCAATTTATTGTCGTTTTTATGTATATCTTGTTTGATGTTCGGATAAAGTGGAATATTGTTCTTTTAAATATTCAAAGGAATAAAATTCATAGAATCTCACTCCTTACTTTCGTTATTTATTTTTGATGATATTATCTACGTTGCTCTCATTTTTTTTTTTAACATATTTTTTTTTGAAATTTCAATGTTTAATGCTGAAAGTGAAACAATATGCAACCTTTTTTTACATACGAGTACATTTCGAGGAATGAAAATTGGTTGTGCATAGCTTATCACTCATCAGACAACGGTGACATATTGCACTAGTATCACTAATATTAATCTTGATTGTGCCAAAGTATTACAAATCAATGAGTTTATTATTGAAACACCTTTATTGATAAATTATCTACATTATGCGTGACATATTGTTTTATCCTTATCCTTACAGGGTTGGATTAGAGGACTATATGGACCTGCCCTAATCGACATATTGTTCATAAGTGGAGTGACTTTAGACCTGGGGTCGCTAGTGTTTACGTTTAACTCGGTTGGTTATGCATTTGGATGTCTGGGCGGAGGATATCTCTCAGACAGAGGGAACCAAAACATGATGTACGGAATCAGCCTACTTTTACTTAGTATTCTAATCGGCGTCACTCCATGGTGTTCCGTGTTTGTACTGATGATAGCCGTCCATTTTGGACAAGGTGTCGTCACTGGTATTGTAGACACAGGTAAATATATCCGGCATTGTTTATATGGCAACTTCTTGTTTGGTTTTCCTCACACCATTTGTTCATTGCAATTTGAAATAAATCCAATTTGATGTATCTTACATATCGTCTTCACAAACGTGATTTTGAAAAACACATTAAGAAGATAATGACGATGAACTGGCTCAACCACTTTGAGCACACCCTGTCCGTCAATATCATCATTTAATGTGCACTGATTATATTTAGTCGATGAATATCTTCGCAGCCTGAACAATTAACGTTAATGTTAACCCTGCGAATGTGTTTTCCTTCTTATGAAGCTGAGAGACTATTGGCTATTAAAAGTATTGTTAGAAATTAAGACCCCGCGAACAAGTTCCAGGAACGAAGAAGTTTGACTGACCGAAATGAAAGCACTGTACCATCCTAGAATCTGTGTAATTAGACGCTTTAAATGTTATGCATATTGCTGAGATTATTTTCCCATTATTTTGCTTATGGACGTTTGGTATCCATGTTTTAGTTGGTAATGCTGAAATCCTGTCCCTTTGGCGTGATGATCGGATGATGTTCTTCTTCCTGGAGCTGATGTTTGGGACTGGCATCTTTGTCTCACCGTTCTTGGCGGCGCCGTTTCTCTTGGACTTAGACTCCACATTACATATTTCCATGGACGATTTTAACAATGTGACATTACCTGGTAAAATGCAACAAAATAATACCACCAATAACACCTTGTTAACTACACAAAGCTCTCAGCTTTATATTCCATATATCGTAACTGCATGTCTGAACATAATAATTTGTTTGCCATTCTTTGTTCTGTGCTTAAGGAATGTCTGTAAAAATTTGAAAGAGTCGCGTCAAGTGGAATCTCCGACAATCAATGAAATGGAGAATGAAGGAAGTTACATTGTTTTGCCATTGAAATATATCATTTATTTTGTTGTGATCGGTAGTAGCCTTCTGTTTCTAGGGATGGCTTTGGGTGAGGGGTTCATATCCTACCTAGCCGTGTATTGTGTAGACCAGTTGGGGTTTACTACCGCGGAAGGAGCTCTAATCAGTGCCATTTCTGGAGGAAGCAATATAGCAGCTATCGTTGTGGCATTATTCGCCTCTTGTTTAAACACGCTGGTATATCTAGGCATACATATTGTCGGTACCTTGGTTAGTGTAGGTGTGTTCCTGCTCTGTTCGGTATTTAATTTTACTGCTGGAGTGTGGCTGTTGGCAGGAGTCATAGGATTTTTTAGAGCCATGATATTTTCACTGACACTGACATGGACTAACGAATATATTACACCGGTCACTGGTAGGATCGCCTCATTATTCATGGTGAGCACGAGTGTTGGGTGTGCGGTTGTTCCAGTCCTGCTTGGCGCGCTGATGGAGACGTACAGTAACCAATGGTTCTGTTATCTCTTCCTCATCCTGGGAACAATGGTCTTACTGCTATATATTGCTGGTGTCCTTCTAACAAAACATATTGTCATGCTGTACGGGAAAACTGATGAAAGGGCAAAAGACAGTAACAGACTGGAAACAGAACCATTGCAACCCGAATAGATATCATGGAAGTTTTTAGTATGGAAAACGTTCGAAAACGGTTTGGTTCTGTTTGTTATTTACATAACGTTTCGAAATGGCGGACAACAATGTAAAAATACAATTTATTGTTATGGTTACTATGTTTTCGATATGCTTTGGTCGACTCATTCTGAAAGTTTCTTTCAATTTCTTTTGGTGTATCTACAAATCCAAATAATGTAAAAAGAAAAGTTGGTGTATATTATGTGACCATTGTTAGCCTATTGTATTAATTGACAACAATTTACAAAATAAAGATTCGAGGTCGCATTGACGTTAATGAAAATCCAAGTTCATGGAACTTCTTTACATTTGGTCACGCTGGCTTCGCCATTCCAAAATCATTGATTTAAGTAATCTATTTATTTTAGCGTTAATATTAACAATCATTTATATAACATTAATCATTTGTTCTAAGATGATGACATTTGGCAAAGAGGTTCCCAAGATATCCAACATTGATGCAATGCAGCGTTGTTTGGCCTGTTTTCGACTTATCTTCTTATTCGAAATATCCAGACAGACGTATGCACTAGTGGTATTGTAATCTGTTTGCTGCAGGTGTTGAAATTTACTATAAAAGTAACGTTCCGTATTTATTCCGTCTTTACGTATTGCATAGTTATCTTCTCTCGTGAGCAGGTATTGGTTGTTACGTCATTGGTTTGTGTGAGAAAGTTGCGTCGTTTTCTCAAAAAATGATGACGTTACTCTCAAAAACAAATGACGTTACAATCAATACCTGCTCACAAGAGAAGATAACTCTGCAATACGCAAAGATGGAATACTGAAGTGAAGGGTAAAACTTGGTGGTTCTGTTGTACGGCAATCAAACATACGTTTTGTTTACCTGCAATGCATTGCGAATGTGATTTCACAACATGGATTTTATTGCCTCTTGCAGATGACGGTCTCGACCCGATGAATATGAATTTTGTCTTTAGGTGTTTACATTACGGTACAATTTGTATATAAACAAGATGTACAGGCTTTTTTTTTATCTTATAATCCGAGGTATGTTTGATATTTCCAAAAGGGGGAAGATGATCATGATCTAATGTTCCAAAACCACGACACCTAATTCTGTAAAATACAGGTCGAACCTCGTTATCTCAAACTCGTATAACTCGAAGACCCCGTTTAACTCGAAGTATTTCATCAGTCCCGGCCAAAACTCTTCTTAATCTTAGTAATAAAAACTCTGGTAATTCGAACTCTGAAAACTCGAAAAACTCGGATATCCCGAAGTGAAATATCGGTCCGAACAACGAAAATCCTACATAAAAATATCTCCTACCTCGAAGTTTCTTAAGATTCACAAGTCTATCATATATTCTTTAATTATTTGATACATATTAGACGCAGTGCTACGGTAAAACATCGTTCTCTTAGAGCAGCTTACGCTCGGTCATAATTTCTTCGATTAAACTTATGGCATTAAACTGTGTTTGACTGTAACAACACTTTGTACAAATAAAGAAACAAACTTCATCAATGTTGATTAACAACAATAAGTACTTACGGCGAGCCCGTAAACAATTTGAATAGCACTTTATTTACACCAAAGTTGCCGACACATTCTAACCGGAAAATGGGTCACAGTGTGCGGTTATACAGTAAAAATCACAACCTAGGACTGGTGCGCTGGTTTATGTTTTTACATGAGCTTGTATGGCACTGATAATTAATTGAGAGATTATAGGAACAATACGATAATTATTGTTGAGTACGTCGTGTTGAGGAGATGTCAAGTGTCATTGGGTTCTATAAATGTGGATATGTTTCCTGATTAACTCATGCCCATTTCGGAATGTCGAAATCAACTGAGCAATCCAGCGTGTACGCTCTTATACAGTGATTTGTATAAAGACTTGCGCACTTTCATTTCCGCATTGAAATTTCTATCAGCATAGCACGAGGTCGGAGACAGCATGTGTGTTTATTGTAACATTAATCAATTAATGAATATGATTATGAATAAGTTGTTATTTTTTATTTTATAGTTATCTTTTTGTCATTTATCGACTGTTTAAATACGTTGATTGTCAGAGAAATCAATGACATATATAGCCTCATATTGGACCAAACACTTTACCAAGCTTTATGCCAAACATAGGAACTCGCTTAACTCGGATACTCGGATAACTCGAAGTTTCCCAACGATCACCGTCGACTTCGAGATAACGTCGAAATATTTGATAATAATATGAAACACTTCTGTTGGAATATTACATAATACCGGTGAAAAGATTTGGTACGTTTATGTTGTACATTTATATACAACGGTTTCCTGTGGAATGTTTGCCATTCTATAGTTGAACAAAAGAACCTTCATAATAAAATGTAATTTCAAGATCACACAGATTTCAATGGTAGCGTATGAAGATATATATCTACATAACACATTTTGAGTTGTATACAGAATAATGGATAATTATGTGAAGTGAAATGCCACAAATATGTCTAATTATCCACCTGGAGTTGACATGATTAACAACGAACGACAAAATGAAAAACTACTGTAAGAAAAGAAAACAAGAAAATACTGAACCGTAAATGAAGAGATTAACACCGAGATTTTTGACAGAAGTAAAAGGAGAAACGCATACGTATGTGCTTGGCATGTCTTCGCATTGTACGAGGTCACCGAACGCTTATTAACGCTATACACAGTGTAGACATAATGAGACCTGCAGGTAATAAATTAAAGGTTGTGTCTAGGATGTAGTTTACAACCGTAAAACCACACCGATTTAGCGAGCAAAAGTGTGCACTGGATTGTTTCGGGTAGAGGTTTGAAATTGCTTTACACCATTATAAATTACAGAACAAACTAAACAACCCATCTAATGACCGAATAAAGGTGGTCCTACACACATGTAACACAGGGACCTGAGAATTTTTTACAGCTATAGTTTGACCTTTACTAAGGCGTTAAGAGTAATTTTACATGTTTTATGGGTTAAGATCGACTTTCATTGGGGTGGCATTTTTTGTCGGAAGTCGATCTAAACCCCAAAAACATGAAAAAATTGCTCTGAACGCCGTAGATGTAAAAATTTCTCAGGTCCCTGTGGCATGCAAGTGTGTACATAACTTACATCATGAATACCGGTAAATTCAATGACACAATGACATTTTCGTCGGTTTGAAATGTAATCTGATAATTTGAATATTGTAATTGCATTATGCTTAGATTCGTACAAATGAATCGTACATCTGATGAATTTTGTAAGTATCTTATTTTTGTCTGATTCTGTGCACTTACAACCCGTGCAGGTTTCGGGACAGCAGAGGTCGTAAGAGGCGAACAATGTGCCCCATCCCTCTTGCAGAGTCGGTTTCTTCCATGTACTATGTTGGCGAACAATGTGTGCTCATCTGCAAAATAAGTGTCTTCTTCCGTGTCTTCTTTTTGTGAAGCGGACATAGAAGAGACCAAAATCGATCCGCTGCACCTATTGCTGTTTTCTTCCCCCTATTTTTCCTGTTTTCTTTCTTTGTACTTTTTCTTTTAGGTGGTACCGCCCTAGGAACTCGTACTCGTATGATCATGGCTGTTATTTTTTATATACTGCGTCGTCAGAGCTAGTCAAAAGTGTTAATCTGTAAGATTACATATAATCCACGCCTCATATGTGTATAATGTTATCAAAATATTGCATAATTGTTGAAAAAACGAATCCTTACCAATGCAAAATCTCTTTTACAAAATTAACCAAATCCGTCTTTGGGATAAAAAAGGAACGACCGCCGTGACAGATCACGCGTGATGTTATCTCAATCATCCTGTCTATATATGGCCTGCATGGCCAAATTAGTATTACAACTGATGCCGCCATGTTTACTACAATTTCTATATTGGGTCATGACATCCCTATTTGGACGTCTGACCTATATCGGAAGAGAGACGAACTTTCCAACATGGCGGTCAAATCAGATTTCAATTGCGCTTGCTACGTAAACTTGATAATTTAACGACATTTTAGGCATAGTTTAACTTCAAGTTGTGCAGGATATCAACAAAAATAGTTCATATCACATTCCTATTTATGGATACGGACTAATGCGCTGTCAATTAATTCAAAAATCGCCCCGGTTTGATTCACACCGGGCTTGCTCCATTACAAGGCATGGGTTCGATTTAATACCCGGCCGGGGCAGAGGAGGCCTGATATTAATATTGATACTAGTTTTAAAACCCCAAACAAACAAATTCACGTAATCACATGACAGAACTAGCTGGAGATAAATACGCAAGAATACACGCTCTGAAATACGATTTTAAACAAATTTGGGGGAAATGTTCATTGCGCAAATAACCTCTGAGGTCTCACTTTCATTCCATTCGTGTTTATAAGATACTTCTTTTTCTATTTTTCAAGTATGACAATTTTCTAACCATAATCTGAACCTCTAGAGCGAGTTTATATTGTATTGTAGGTACATTATAACTGTTAAAATGGTTTTCTATAAATACGATCTAGAAAATCAATATATATACATGTATATAAAATAACGGGTCGTAAATTGAGCTGTTAAATATTTTTTTGTGTGATTTACCTTTGTTGCAAAGTGTTTGTGTTATTTCGTTGACACACAGGTAGTGTGATCACCGCCTGCCTGATAGCAATATCCGGTGTCGTCAATGCAGTGTTTATTCCGAACAGTAACAAATTTTGCGTGTTCACTATTGACTATGACAAATATCAAAGAAATGTCTGTATATGGTATGTTGATAATTGATAAAAAATAGGATGTTAGGAGGCACCTATTAAAAAGATGTAGTATTTGCATACCATTTCCTTTTTCTTTTGAATGGAATTTAACGTCTTCTCAACAGACAGGGTCATAGGAAGGCAACCCTGGAAATAGAACAGACAGGAAAAGGAAAAGATCCCAAGTTTTGCATTGCGGGCAGCAAATCAATGTTGTTTGTTTCAATTTACTCTTAAAAGAAGAAAGAAAAGAACATGGAATTTAACGTCTTCTGATCAACAGACAGGGTCATAGGAAGGCAACCCCGGAAATAGAAAAGATAGGAAGGAAAGAGTTAATAGAAAATATAGGAAAAGGAAAAGATCCCAAGTTTTGCATTGCGGCAGCAAATCAATGTTGTTTGTTTCAATTTACTCTTAGAAGAAGAAAGAAAAGAACATGCCCCCCCCCCCATTCCCTAGGGGGAG